AGGAGAGGAGAGGAGAGGAGAGGAGAGGAGAGGAGAGGAGAGGAGAGGAGAGGAATCAGCCAAATCATAGCTCTGGGCATGAGAGATGAAGTCACCAGAATCAGCAAGAATAGCTCTACCACAGAGACAGCTAAACTACAGACAAGACTGGACTGCTGTCTGGAGAAACTGGGAAAGTGCTCTTCTCCTACTGTACTTCTCTTCAGTGCCTGACCAAAAGAAATTCCAAAAAGAAAGGGTAGAGAAGCAGGAGCAGAAAGGGGAGAAAAGAAAAATAACAAAACCATGTGGTAGAAAAGAGCAATGTTTACAAAGAATGAAAGATGACCAGATTCTCACAGATGACATTGTTTGCACATAAAAGTTAATCTCAGGCTTACTTACACATACAGTATTTTACAGGATTCCTGGTATAGCTGCTGTTGTACTCAGGACATTAGGTGAGTCAGATTATCTTAAGAGTGTTGGTGCTTGGGCAATTGCATAGTGAGGGAAGAAGATACTTTTCACCACTGTTTTGGTGTGATAACAGGGGTGGTTTGTTTTGGTCCAGAGCACGCTGCAGTGCCTGGGAAAACACATCTGCAAGTATCTGAGGGAAAGTTTTTGTTTCTGGGAAAGTTCAAGTTCAAGGTCAAGTTTTGACCAAGCCCTTGGAAAGCATCTGCTGTGCAGTCAAGCTTTACCCTGCTACTATAGAGGTCAGGTGTGTCTGTGGATAAGAGTTATGAGTCACTTAGTTTTATTTTAGAGTTTCAAATAAAGGATCGAGACAGACTGAAGGTAGGTTGCTGACAGTAAAGTCAAGGACACACACTTTTACCTGCCTCAGGTTTAATATGAAGATAGAGAGAAGAGCAGGGGACAGCATGTATGTGTTTTGGGGCTTTGAGAGGACATGAACATTTAGTTTTGACTGCAGTACCAAGGGAGATGCCAAAATGAATTGTGCTACTGTATTTCGCACCAAGGGCGACAGAAAAGCAAAGGAAATCCCTTTCTCCCAGCTCTAGGGATACAATTAGACATTAAGTTTCTCTATGCACTTTCAGATGTCAGCTTCCTCCTGTGCCCCAAAGGGAGAAAGTCAGCAGGAAAGGCTTTCAGTGATCCTCAGGGGAAGCCTTGAATGAAGAAGCGTGCGTGTCAGGACACGGATCAACACTGTAGAAAAGGGTGCGACTGCTGCTTCTAACACAAATCCTTTAAAGTTCCTGACTGCCTGCTGGCAGGGCTGTGTCAGCACCCTGCTCAGCTACCACAGGGATTACTCAAGACGCCCGAGCAGCAGCCAGTTGGGAGATTCAGGTTAGCTCCAATTGCACCTGCACTGTAACACTTTAGAGCATCAGCCCTGGGTTTAGAACAGCACTGTCACCACATGAGAGAGACCTAATAATACCAGGGGACTATGGGTGGATGGACTCTGCCCATTTTTATTATTAAAATTCTTTCCTTAAACATAGCCTGGTTTTAGAGCTGAACGATGTTGAAAGCAAGATCCAAACCGTCAGGTAGGACCTGTTCCAGGGTTACACGGTGTTGCCCATCTCCTTGCTCCAGCCCTGGCTGCTCCGCAGGCCAGGCTCAGCACACCAGGCACAGCCCCACCTACGGAAGACAGCACGAGCAGAGAAACCAGCAGGCTATCCCGCTTTCCCACTGAAATGCCACACTTGCAAGATGTTATTTTTAACACTCGTACACACCGCTAGGACACACCCCACTGGGGTTGTCCTTCTTGGCTAAAACACGGCAGTGTTGGAGTGGCTGTTTATGCAAATAGTTTGGCACACATCCACACATCCCTTTATCTCTACAGCAGCAATGGCTGTGGGCATGTGAGAAATACCACGTGTATGACAGGGCAGTGCAGTTCTCTGGTTAGACACTGAAGGAAACAGCAACATAAAGCCCGCTTTTGAACTAGGAACTGGTGCAAGCTGTTACCACCTGGACAAAGTCCACTGACCTGGCTGAGAGATGGAGAGCTTTTTCTTTTCCCACTCAGAAGAGTGTGAACAAAGATAAAGAAAAATTAACTGCAGCAAGGCAGTGTTAAATTGTTCTGAAATAGACCTCAGCAACATTCAGCTTTTTTCAAAGTCTGTTGTTAGCATTGAGATTTGATTGTTTTGAATTTTGAAATCCCTGGTGTTTCTAAGCTTTTTCACATTATATCAGCTAATACTGAAGCTAGGTGGAAAATAGCTCACTATGCAATATCTTTTATGAATAGGGATTTTTTTCCTAGAGCAAATACTGTTTCCCTGCATATCACTTCAATAATATATCACACAGGACTGAGGACACGGGAATATGAGCTTACAATTCCTTATAGCAAGTTGTGCAGCATATGCATCATTCTTTTTGTGCAACTGGCTGATAAAAAAGCAGCCCTTTTTCCACAGTGGTATTTTGACAGTATAAATGCAGCTTCCAATAATCATTTAGGAATAAGAGTAAGAAATTCTACATAAGACTCATTAGGTTATTGTTTGGTGTTTTTTAAAGACCCCATTATATTGATCACAAAAAAATCCACTTCAGTCCTTACTGACCTAAGCCCTAATATTTCAGGAAACCCTACTGTGGATATGACTATGACGACATGGAAAATTGGGTAGAGTTGCTTTAACTTATTTCACAAGATAAGGCAGCAGATAAACAGATCCTTTCACACAGGATAGTTCAGACCTATCAGTAACAGGCTGTTTCACATAATGAAAGAGGAAAAATAGTACTATTTAAAATAATATTTTATACTATATTATTATTTATATTAGTGTTTTATTTATACTATTATAAATAAATTATTGTTTATTAAAATAAGCTATTGTATTATTTAATATTATTTGCATTGTTATTTTATATACTGAGAAAATAAAGCAATCAGAAGTGGACACTTTAGGAGAAAAGGACTGATATCAGCACTGCCATCCTGAGAAAAAGTTTATCTTGTGATGGTCCAGTTTCTTTCTACAGCTGTGGAAAGTTAAAGCCATATACTCAATACATTAAAGGGGGAAAGCAGAAACACACAGGAAGTTTACAGTTTGTTCAGATGTGCTTTTCCTGGCTTCCCTGCATTGATATACACAGTTTAGGAAGTCTTCCAATTAGATCCTATTTATTCAGTTGTATAGATTTCAGTCACTGGCACAGAGGGTTCAAAGGTGATAGTTCTGCTCCATTTATGACCTAGGAGTATTTAGGGGTTTGGTCGATGTTAAGCAGGAGGAGTTCTCCAGGGAGGAATGTGTGACCTAAAAAGGGAAGATCTTTCAAGTAAGAGTACAAGGCTGGGACAAGAGAGGCTGCTAATTCAGAATGGAAGTTGTCCCAGAAGATCAGGCAACCTCTCCCTCACCTTCCTCCTACAGACTTTATTAACATTTCACAGGCTTATGCATTTTGTGCAGTCAATTACTGCCATCTTGATTAAAGTTAGCTTAAATCCATTTTAATTTTGCTCAGGTTAAACAAAAAGTACTGCTAAAAATGGTGTCCAGTTTCATACAGCCAACACAAAGAGTGGGAGAAGTCTTTTGTTGCCTCTCAGTGGATCTGGGGCAAAAGTTCACTCTATCTGGCAACAGTGAACACAAATGAAAGTCTTAAATCTTGGCTGGTTATGTCTTAGAGCATCAAGAAGAATTAACCTACTTAAAAAAATAAATCTCCTCAGTTCTGAAAAAAAATTACTCCTCTCCTGATACTGTGTACTCACATTACTTTATTAGAACTTCCTTATTGGGCAGCTTTCCAAATAACCTAGATTTTCTTCCAGCAGCATGTGTGAATAGCCCACACACATGCAATTCAGGTCTATGTTTCTGGAGCAGTGGGCCATCTGAGTCAAAGCTCAGTGTCTTATGCATGATCATAACAGGTAAGAAGGGCAGCATCACCAAACAACACCTGAGAACAGAACTTCTCATTTTATATCTTTTGTGGAAAACATCACTGAAGAACAAAAGACCTGACTGGATCAATGAAGCCATAATCCCACAGTTTCAATTTACGAAAGACTCTCACACACAAGTTGAAGCTTGTTGTATAATTTGTGCAAAACTTATCTGCTTAATATACTGTAGTTGACTCTATCCCCAGTGACTAGTCCAGCAGACTCTCAGATTATGGGAAAAAAATATTCTAGTTCTCCAACACTTCTCTATATGAGGAATTAATTTCCTGCCATCTGAAATACATTTATGAAAGAAAAAGACCCCAAACACCAACTGTGTGTTACCTGTATGTACCAAAAAAACCCATACAGCAAAAATCATCCTGAGGGCCTGAAAAGGAAGAATAGCTCTATTTCTGGAGTGTTCCCTAGGTGTGAGCTTGGTCTGACAAACAACTGGAATGTAGGACACCTTAGCTAGGCAGCTCAAGGATCAACCCTGCTCAGACTGTCTGGCACTGCGTCTGACTTGAAAAGAAAACCCTGCCTCATTTCCTCATGAAATTAATAAAAAACTCAGATCCTAGGCAGTGATCCGAGCTGCCAGTGCCCATCAACTCCCAGCCCTGTGGATGTGCAAACAGCGTGTGTTTCTATGGTCAAAGCTCCTTTTGCATATCCAGCTGGGCAGTGATAATGACAGGGGTGCTTCCCTGTGGACACTTCAGTATGTGTGGCCTTTTGCAGCCCAGCAATATTGGATTTGCAATCCAGCCCATTCTGGATGAGATCATATCCTGCCCTCCACCTCATCCCCATCAAAGCTGGGCGATTTACAGTCACAGGTTTGCAATCCCCTTCAGCAGCCTGCAGGGATTGCAGTGTGGAGCCTGGGCTCCCAGGTGCCTTGGTGACACACGCCAGGCTCCAGGAGCCCTATCTTGGGCACCCAGTAACAAATGTACCCATCTCACACCATGAATCAGCTTCCTCCCACACAGAGCTCAATTCCCAAGCAGTCAAACTCCCAGCAGCACTTTGAGCAAGGCCAGTGTGGAACAAGGTGAAACTAGTCTAACTTGGGCAAAACTCTTGGCACATAATGTCACAAGTGCCTGTAGGCGTGCGAGTGCTCACACACAGTATTGTTAACAGCAATAAGTCGTGACACATTACCCTCTGCACAGGACACACTTTCCACTACATCTATCTTTCTTAGTTTGGGGAACTCAGTCTAGCACATATATATACACATATATATCTTGCTACTCCTGTTAAATTATTTAACCTTCACATGAAACACTGCATAAAACATATTGCACAGTTTAAACTTATCCTGAAGATGACTCATATAATCAGGTAAAGCTAAAGAATAAAAGAAATATAAAGCAAAAAGTACTATAGAAAAAAATGAAGCTTTGATTCTTTCTGATTCAGATTCAAGTACTGCACCAGGTAGGCTCATAATCATCATCTCTCCCTGATCATTAAGAAGTGAGCGCTCTTCCCACAGCAAGTTTATTGTTCTGGCATTGCTTTTTCTTTTGTACTCTATGTTATGTCAGGTGTTCCTAGTTACACCTAGTTCAGGTTTAATCTAGCTGTTCCTAGCTTAAGGTTCCCAACATAAATTTTCTTCCTACAATAGATAATTTGATGCTTCACAGCAATTATTATTTAATCTTAGGATGTAATTGAAGAGTTCTATTTCACGCCTAGGTGTGGACACATGCATTTAGAGAGCTAGGGTATTTAGACAGCTTGGAAATTCTTTTCAGGCCTGGATTTCTCCTGATTCTCAGGTCCATTCCCAGGCTGACAAGCTGACTACAGCTTCAGTTAGGGAGGAAGTCTCCCAGGGTGATAATATGGTGAAAAACAGAGTGGAATTCATAATAAAGATTAACACCTGGTGTCTTTCCCGTGGGATACATCCTGAGGTACTGTCCATGGATGTTTTTCCCAATTGTCCAATGAGCTACTGTCCTGTCCTAGCTGCATGTAACACACTTTAAATACGGGCTGTCCATACAATAAAGTTGGCCTTTTTTCCCCAAAGAAGTCCACGTGTGCTGCTGTCCTTTCTCTCTCTTTTCAGCACAGTAACCACACCTAGGCAATAACAATGTACAACCAAACTACTGCATCTGACTCATTGCCAGGAAACTTAAAGCCTCTGGGTTTACTCACTTGGAGAAGACAAAGCTCTCTACTTAAGAGACGTCTTGAGTGTAGGGCTGTAGGACTTTTCACCATGATGTAAGGTCTCCTAAGGCCCTCCCACCAAAACAAGTGAACTTTATTCTGAAAATTCCTCAATAAATGCACACATATTTTGTCTTCCTTGAGTTATGATATACCTCAATAATAAGAAGCACATGCCTGAGAGAAGCTCACTGTAAAGCTCTGGTAAGTGTATTTGGTATAAATGACATTGCAAAAATTGAAACGTACCTCATCCCCATGCATATTAGCAACATACTTGAACTCTGGAATGCCAATCTTATGTTGGGTTGGAAACCTTCCCAGAACAAGAACCCACAGGTCTCTACCTTTAAGAGGGGAAGGGGAAAAAAACATTTTTTAAAACAAGTGCAAAATCATACAAGCCTTAGAAGAATAAAGAGTTGGTCATTAAGACCATTGTACAAATTCTCATATTGCATTGGTGCCCACTCAGTCCTCTATATAACATAGCAAAGTAGACTGTGGAGTTATTTTATTCTATGAATATTTGCCATATTAGTTAAATATGCTTTGCCTTCTGCTCAAGTATGTAATAAAGCTTGCAATTTCTAAAGCATTTAACAGGACTAGAAAAGGTGGCTCTTTTTTTTTTTTTGTAATAAACACTTTTCAAATTAAATTTAGCAAATAAGACCACTCTTCTCCCCCTCCCCTCCAAATTTTAAATCATAAGGCTTTTCTGAAATATATACAGAAGTTTTCATTATCACAAAGAAAGAACAACTGATTTGGTACTAAAGACAACACAAAAAAGCTAAACACATTCATGCATTACTGCTCAGAAAACAGGAGGTACCAGAAAGAGCAGTATCAGACTTCTTTCAAATATACCAGCAGGGAAAGAATTAATAGCGAGAGAAAGAGTATTAGTTAGGACCACTAAAGCTGCACAAGAAGCTGAACTTTAAGTAACAAAATAAACATACATACAATATCTAAGTCCACATTTAAGCGGGGGGGAGAGGGAGAGGGGAAGGCATTTATTGTTATTATTTTTAGCGATACTGTGGCATTTCAGATCTCATCTGCAAATTTGTGCTTCCCACTAATGTGCTCAGTGAGGTAGAAAACTCAAGTTTCAGCAGATGGCAGCAATGAAACTGGACCAGCTCCTTGACAGTAGCAGTGACAGGCTATAGATTGCTGATGCCCAGACCTCACACGTGTGCTAGCTGCCCCAGCTCCACACAGGGCCTGCTGGCACCCACGACCTGTCTGAGAGGAGCCCAGCCATCACTGCTACTTGCAGGAAAGATGCAGTACTATAAAAAGCCTTATTTTCTAGATCTTTGTGGGCCATCAAATCTGCAGTAAACAAACTCTGGAGCATATCAACTTCCCATTCAGAAGGCATGACCCCTGTAGTCACGCAGATGCCACAGCATTTTTGTTTTCTTTTCTAGCTATGTGACTCTCAGCAGCTACACCACAAGGGTCATGACTTTGGGAATGGAAGAAAAACCTGAAGAGGACTGAAGCAACACTGCAAGATGCACTGAAACAGTTGTAAGAGAGGTAAAACTGAAGACAGTGGTAGCCAAACTAAATTATAAGTTAACAGAATCAGAGTCCTAGGCTTAGGATCAAGAAGCAGAAAGACAGTGCTGTGAGCTGACAGATTCAACAAAGAGTGATCTCAGTATCCCCTGGTTTTACAGTTGCTCTTGAAGACTTTGGTGTTCCATCCCCGTAACCATGCTCACAGCACAAAGCTGTGAGATGATGCTACTGACTCTTTTATTAAAGGACAATGTGAGCAAGCAACCCATACTTTTAAAAATAATTTTGTGGCACCTGATTTGGTAAGAAAGCTAGTTATGTGGCTTTGTTGTATGTAGAGCCACTGTTTCATAAAAACAGAAAAAGCTTCATTTCTGTAAGCCTAAACAAATTGCAGAGTGGAGAACCCAAAGATGCTAGCTTTTAATCACATTCTTCTTCAAAAAGGAAAGAAAGAACACACAAATCATCTCACCCTTCTCCCCTCCAAAACCTCCACAGATGCCCTCTAATCTCAACCATCCTACATCTCTGTGAAAACAGATGACAAGTCTTGCTGCGGTAGCATATGTTTGGAATTGAAAACAATCCTAGTAGGGAAAAAACTGTCATTCATAATAATCAAGTGTGGACAACAACCAACTTAATTTCCAACCCTGCAATGTGTCATTCTCTCTCTAGTTGTATCCTAGGGCAACTTCCAATGAATTAGCAAGGAAGTCCTTACAGAATGCTCCTATGATTCTTCATCCCTCTAAGCCCTGCTTCCCAGCTCTCCTTCCCTCTACTGGAAGGCAAGTTCAGACATCCCTCCTTGGTGTCAGTTGCCATGTGGACTTCTGCACCTAGAGGCACACACTTGCTTACAGCAACAACTGCAGCCCTTCCACCACAGCCCAAACATGAAGGTGGCTACTGCAAGCCTAAAACATGCAGCTCACCATATACTACCGAAGCAAAGAGTCCAAGTAGAGCTAAAGTGCTCGAGATGTCCCCATCATTTCTACAAATAATAGTGTATTTTGATTTTAAATTGTAAAATAATACTTCCAGCGTCTTGCCATCAGCAGTATTTATTCCTGCTGCTCTCAGTGTGAATTGCACTCATGGGAAGCATAAGGAAGAGCTAAGTATAGACTAACATTAAATACTGATGCACATTGGTCTTTCCTGCATTAGTGTTCAGAATGTTTAGAGTTTGTATGAGGGCCGTCTACACGATAAACACTCCCATGAACTGAGATACCAATTATTTCCTGGCATTTCCAGCTTGTAAGAAGTACTAACCCTTCCATTAACAATTAAAATACATTCCCGAGTCTGCTCAGCCTGCAGTACTGGATAGTGTATCTATGAGGGATGATGTAAGATTTCTTTCCATGCGGCTGTAATTAACTGCATATAAAAAGATTCAGGATATGGATGGCTTCCTTTAATCAGCAAAGCCTAGATAACTGGTTTGGTACCTGAAGGGAACAGCTAAACTTCCCCTCATGCTTTGAAAAGCCATTTCTCACTGCCAAATTGCCAAACCAAAACTGACGTCAACTAATTAGTGAACTACATTTCAAGTGATGAAGACAAACGTGTGGTTTTAAGTGTGTGTCTCAGGACAAGTAACAAGACTTGCACTGGAGCAGAGCCAGACCACACTAGTAGAATGAGAAGCATTTTTAACTTTTTAAAAAGTTTTCTAGCACTGCCAATAGTTCGTGACGTAGTGTCAGTATCCTAAACAGACGTACAAAAAACGGTAATTAAAATGAAGAACTGAAACTGATCTCCAGATCTAGTGAGAAAGAAACAAAATCAATCTGTAGATATTGGGAGTCTAGATTGTGCTCCCTGCTTTTGTTCTGAATTTGAGTTCTTCTTTTCTTCACTTTGTTCTTTACAGCTGCATTTATGAAAAACTTGCCATTTCAAAGAAAGTTATGGCTAGGAAATAAAGTCAAATGACTGGGGAATGGCTCAGATTTACTGTCAGTACTAGTCAGGCTAGGGTACTGATTCAAGAGTTTGCAGGGAGGACCACTTTGACCAAGAAAAAGCAATAGACTGACTACAGTCCTGCTGGTTTGGCCATGAGTTACACACTGGCTTCATGGGTAGGAACTGCAGTAATGCTCTTCTGTGATAAGGCAGTCCCCACCTAGAAAGATGCAGAGAAGAGGGGAAGAGAGATTAACTCTCATTAGAATGCAAGGTCCCAGAGCAATTGAATCATAGAACCAATCTCAGACTCATTGAACAGCCCAGGTTAGAAGGAACCTCAAGAGATCATCTGGTCCAAGCCTACATGGGAAAGGAAACCTAGATAAGATTATTTAGCACTTTGTTTGACTGCATCTTTAAAACCTCCAGTGAGGAGGACTCTACATCATTTCTGGGAAAGTTGTTCCAGTGAACGATTCTCACTGTAAAAAATTTTATTATATTGAGATGGAACCTCTCATAGTGCAACTTGAACCCATTGCCCCTTGTTTTAACATGTAGCTCCTTGCAAAGAGAAAAAAAACCATCCTCTTTCATCCACTCTTCAAATACTAGAATTTTGTGATAAGATTCCCCCCCTAGCATTCTCTTCTCCAGGCAGATGAGCCCCCCCAGGCAACACTGTCTTACAGCAAAACACTACCACACCTAATAAAGGACTTCAAGAGTAATTCCTTTTGCTAAACTATTACCAAAAACACCCTTGCCCTGAGGGAGTTTGATTTGTCATTACCAACTGAAGCTGGAAAATCTAAAGCCATTTTTGAACTTTTCTTCTGCAAGGGGACTGCCCAACAACACACATGGCTTGATTCAGGTTCTAACAGAATTTGAAGTACCAGTACAAATAAGTGATTTTAATCTAGCCAGACTAAGTAAAACATCCCCAAAATAAGCTACATCCTGAAGCTGAGATCAGACAAACATCTGTAAGAACAACTGTATATCACATTCTTTTGTGAGCATTTACCCTACCTTCAGGTATACTATGATCCACTGAGACAGAATGGAATATCTAAAGACCTGGCCTGTAGTAGCACTGGCATTAGTAATGAACAAAGTTGATATGCCAAGAATAGCTAAGACACTTTAAATATAAGAAAGTCTTCAAGGTATTTTAAAGAATAAAGAAATACCATCAATCACATACATCAACCAGGCATATCTGGCAACATTCAGCATGGTGCTTAGGTAAGCAGAAGAAAAGCCAAAAGGCTGCAGGTCTATCACTGCCACTGAGTCACTGTGTGGGGGCCACTGCTCAACTTAATACTTCTGGCCTCTTCCCACGGATCCCTTATTACACACATAAGGCTCGCTCTCTTGGCAAAACATAAATAGAAGTATCATTTTTCCACTATTTAATCAGTTCCTATCTACTCCAAGAGATTATACCAGTCACTCTAAATTAGAGTCAGCACTATATAAGTAGAACTGATGGAATAAACAATGACTCTAAAAAACAAGATACTGTTTATTAGTATCCAAAGCATTTGGAAAAGGAAGGGAGTCAAAACAATTAATGGTTCACATACTTGCTTATCTTCCTAAAGGTTTACAAATCTTTGGTTGATTGGGACATCCATAGCTGCTTTGGACACTTTCACAAGGCTTGTATCTTATGAGAACAGCAACCCTTTCTTTCCTATGTACATGAGTCATCACTGTACCATTTCCAGTTCTCGTGATCAAGTTGAACACACTCTTTATACACAAAACCATGAAAAATTGCCAATGCAGAGCACAGTCTCTACAACAGTACCTTAGAGGTTATTTGAACAAAAACCAAGAAATAAAAATAAATTTGTAA